TTTCTCATTTAATTTGGCTTAATTTGAAATAACAAAAACTAAAACTGAAATAAAAATGAATTAAAACTATACAGACAAACTGCTAAAGATTACAAAAATACAGAGCAAAATCACTAAAACATTAACTAAAATTCAAATGAAAATAGAAAAATATAAACTGATTCAAAATATTAATACAAGCTATAATGATACTAAAATAACTCTGCATTTGTAAATCCTATATGGCAGAGTTGCTCTTTTGTTCAAATTAAATTTTATGACATACTATAATATATAACAAAAAAATAACATATTAGCCATCCAATATGAAGCAAAAACATCTCCAGAGGCTTGTAGCATGGTTTCCTGCATCTGCTGATCCAGACTCACTGTGTCTGTGTTTCTGAGAGTCTAAGCAGCTCTTCACGGCCTCCACGGCTCCAACGCTGCTGAAGATCAGACCTCCAAACCTCTCGGGCTCAAAGAGCTGGTGTTTCCAGAGCGCAAGCACAAAGAGTTCATATCTAATAAACCACAACAACATTATTCCACTTCAGGGGCCAGTTTAGTCTGGATCAGAATTATCTGGATTTGGAGATCCCATGTTTATCGATCCAGGATCAGGGAACACATCTTAGTTTTGTGCTGGTTTTTCAAAGCAAAACTGGATTGGATCACTCTGATCCAGATACACACTTTTCCAGATTTCTGAATCTGGATTACTAGAGCTCTACGGCGCCCCTAAAGGGACATGATGATGGAGGAAAACATGCTAATGTTTTGCATTGCATTTACACAAATAACTGCTTCTGACTGCTCCATCTCTGATGATTGTGCCAATGTAGTTTACAAACAGTGATTAAAAAAAAACTTTAAATATAATATTTTTGTTTGATTTTGATTTTGATTGACAGCTGTTTGGGAATTTGGGGATACATTACATGTTACAAATAGTGCTGTAAAAATTTTTGTATATGTATGTGTATATTATGTATATATATAAATACACACATACAGTATATATTTTGAAAATATTTTCATGTACATTAATATATTTATATTCTTATAAATATATAAATACATTTAATATATAAACATTACATATTTTTCTTAAATATGTACATGCATATGTTTGTATATATATATATATAATAAATATACACAGTACACACACATATATTATG